AAGCAGAATGTTGTGCAATACTGTATATACAGACTCCATTGCAATACCCATCAATCTTCTGCAAAGATTATTTTAATTAATCTCAGCACTTTATTGTAATAACATAACAAGCTGAACCAGAGATCTTCTTGGCTGCACTTTCTGGTTAATCAGAAAGAAATCTTCCCCCAACTCAGGAACAATGCTCACATGCTAAATCTCTGGAGTCCGCTACTCACTACTGCGGAAAGGTACAGCAGTCTGCAACAGGGGAAATGCTTTACATACTGACCAGCCTCCTCCCTACTGTTCCTCAGCAAAGCTGAGAACGTTAATAGACTTTACATTCACCACTAATCTCTATCCACTCTGCCCCGATGATCAGAATTTGCTGTACCAAGTTGTTCCAGAATAACTAAGTAATATCTTGATGAGGGAGAACTTAATCAGAAAAAAGAAGGTACACTATATGTGATCACTATAAAACAAATGTGGCAATAATGATACCTGATTCTTTGAACCAAAATGGCAAAGATAATACAGAATGTGGAGATGACATATAGTCTGATTTAAAAAAAAACAATATATCAAAATAAGAGGAGGGATAACAGCATCCAAGGTCTCCTTCCTTTCTGCTGCTCCAACCCTCTAAATTACTGAAAAGCTATAATTACCAGAGTGAGCCTCTCTTCCTCAAACTTATCTCCCCTCCACCCCATTTCCACCTGCTCAACTACTGTACCGCTTCGTTAAACTCCCTCTTTTTATGAGGGTCAAGTATGGCCAGGTCAAGCCAAAATGTCTTATGACCAACTCTTCAATAAACATTCTGAAATGCATTTTCTTATTGGGTGATGTTATTCCCTGCAAACCAACGATATGATGCATAATGTAAACTTCGGGCAATGACTTCACTTTCTAAAAGAAACCCATTCAGCACATTCCCTGTCCAGCTCTAAGTTAAAGCCTGACTTTGAAATACAACACCTTTCTTGGGTTTTTCTGTGGCCTACTGTAATACAGCACTGTGACCTGCAGTCTCCCTCCTGTCCTGTTTCAGCTGCTTTGAGATTCAGTGTGGTGCACTGCTGGCTTGCTGGGAGTGAGAGTGCTCCATTAAACACCCAACTCATTGTGCTTCAGGTCAATCACCCCACAGGAAAAACAGGAAAGCTCATTTAATTGTCAATCAATAGCCCGTCTACTTAAAATGAAGAGAGAATTACCACACATCTTTAATTCGGCAGAAATGAGATTTATCTTTTAACTTTGTATGCACGCTGAAAGACCAGTTAAAAAAGAGAGCAGTTAAAAAAACTGAATAGAGGAATAGACAATTTTTGCTTGTGATGTATAGTCGAAGGTAAAAGTGAGTAAAGGTAAGGGTGTAAAAAAATGTAAAAGTAAGGATGAAAATTGGTGGTTTATATGTAAAATGGTTTTGTTTTGTTCACTAAAATAAAAATAATAAATAAAAAAAACTGAACAGAATGAAAATGGGGAGTTTCTTCAGAACAGTCTTGACGTGAGTCATGTGTATCACCCTCTCTGCCAGGCTCAGCTGTTTCTAGGGTTGATCAGTCAGACACAGACAGATGCGGCAAAGCAATGACTCCGCTTCACTTCTGAAAGGCCCAGCCTCGGTCACACAATCACCTGAGGCACTAAAGTTCCTTTAGTATTCATTATTGATACTGGATATGGATGTATTGTAGGTACAGTATATTGTGAGTCACATTGCAACTCCAGTGATCAGTGCTCTATCACTTGTTAGAAAAAGTAATTCAGCCTGGTTGTCTGTTCAAAATCAGTTTCCTCTCAGTTATTATAGACCTCCTGTGTTGAAACTCACAACAATCAACACGACGCCTCCTCACCTTTGACATACAGTACTTATCAACACAAATTCTTCCTGTTATTAACTTACACCATGGGTGGACTTCAAAAATCCAAGACATGAAGGGATACGACCTGTGACATTTCACAGATGACGAAAGCACATCTGAGACAGTTGAAGAGAAGTGGAGAGGCAGACAATATGGTGTGGAGATGGAGGCTGGACACCACTTGCTCTGTGCTTTGCAGGAAAGCTATGCTTCACCTCTTTTGGCTTTTCAAAACAGAGACACCTCTGAAAAGCACCTTCTCCGTCTCCTGCCTGGCTACGCACCCTACCTGCTTGGGCCATTTCTGTGAGTCACAAAGCAACACATGCCTTTGCTAGCCTTAGAATTACAAACGATCAAATCACCAACTCCCCAAAAGAGCACACACCTCCTTCTTTATTTTCCTTGATTTATTTTTTCCCCATTGCGCCGAGATGTGCGATTTGATTTATTCCATTCGTTTTTCTGTTGGTTGCTGTTTTTGTGTCATAACGTTTCCCTTGAGCAAGGCTGATGATTTATAAACCGTGCACAAGTAAATTCCACAAACAACATTAATAAAAACAAAATGAAATCAGCCATAGGGTAGCCATCAGAGGTAAACATCGAAAGTGAGCAAGATGTAGGAAATGAAAGCCGACACCGTACCTAAATCACCTTCACCTTCAAGCCTTCAGCTGTCACTCAGAGACTTGTATGGAGGTTGTCTTGCCCCAGATAGAACCAAAGCTGTTAAAACCTCTTTTATATACTGATCCCAATTAGGAATTGCCAATTGTCTCCTTTTGTCTTGGCTCTCACCATCAACTCCCCTGCTACAAGCGTGAAAAAGGATTGGTACGCAATTTGATAAGCAGCAAGCTCCACTGTGCTTGGCACAAGGGTTAACACAAACAGGAGGAGACACATGCCCTCACTGACATCAGTGCAAGCCTGCAGGCACTCCAGGAAGTTATAGGCTTTTCTAAAAAGCCAAGGTGGCTTTTTTCCAACTAATGCCAACGCTACTGCATTGTGGCTTCCTGCCAATTGTGTGCTACTTCTTGAAGAACGCCAGTCACAGGAGGCTGGTGTCATGACCCAAGTCTGAATTCATGATATCCAGGCTATGGGACTTAATCTGTGCTTAACTGGATGAAGCTCTCAAGAGCTCTGGAAACCCTTTCTACTTCTCAGAATAAATGCTCGGAAGCTGTTCAGACAAAGGGTTAAGGAGGTTTCAAGTTTGCCTTTGAAGCAAATGTGATATTCATGTGTCTATGTGAGCTTTTGAAATGAAACTCGAGTGTGTAGCATTTAATTATTCTTCTAAATATTGTTCTTCAAGGTACTAGGAGAGGTGTACAGGTGCGCTAGGTGAATCCCAGGTAAAAGGTGATTGCTGTGCTGTGGTGATGCTGCCGGAGAGCGGCAGGACACATGCGAGTCTGAGGAAGGAGAGTTCCAGCCTTGCAAGGCCTGATGAAGATGGTTCCTGGAGACGATGGGCGATGGCACCAGTGAGTGTGTGCGGAGGGGGCAGAGGCTGTACTGGCTACGGACACGTACACAACCTGCATATACGCCTACAGCACTGCCACCACTACAACCTATACACACACCTGCAGCACTGCACACAACTGCCACATACACACAAAAACCACTGCATGCAAGTTATACATACAGTACACCTACAGCCACACACACCTATGGCACATATACATGGAACACACAGCACATTCACACATGCACATGCACCTAGTACACTGTTCACAACCTGATCACATACACATACGCCACACTACACAAATTGAGCATACACACCTCTGCAGCACTGCACAATCCTACAATCCTAGACAGAGCCTGAACATGCCTACAACACTGCATACACATACCTAGCACACACTCAAAGGCATACAGCTACAAACACTACACACACACATTCACATCTGGACAAAACCTGAATAACACTCCATCACAAGCAGTTGGAAGACAGCCAGAGGAGACTGGAGTCAGTCTAACTCATTCCCTGGAGAGGAGCCTTCTTATGAGACCAAAGAGCACTGGGCTCATGGGACTCCTGGGTTGTAAAATAGCTCACACTGAGGAGCACCATGACAGGCAAACTACAGCATGTGGTTATGGTTATTACATTCCTCCCAAACAGTGGAGGAAAAAGAAAATGGAATATAAATGAAAACCACATAACTTTAGACAGAGTATCCGTCATTGTCTGTTTTTTATCGTGTCACCAGAGAAAATTATTTGCAGAGCACTCTAGGTTCTGCTGAAGTCTTTCTTTTGCATTGTGCATTCAGGAAATACTTAAGAATATCTTTCTGCCTTAAAAATGTCTCTGTCATCAAATGTCAGTACTGGCCCCCTCCCTCTGGCTGCCTGTGCTGTTGTGGGGATTTCACGGCTACAGCCAGACTCCTAACTCCAGCACACTGGAATCATTTGTTGATTGGAGAATCACATGACAGGGTGGTTTTTGAGGTTATGCTGTGTTGAATCATCCTTTATTTCCCCACAGACATTCCCTGTGCACTATAGATCTGCAGCCACTGTCTCAATAAAGTGAATAGTGTGGCTTATTAAGGTCAGCTAAAAAATCATTATAATGTGACATTTCTTTGTCTGTATAAAGAAAACAACCTTGCAACCTTAGACAGACTTCCAGGAGGCTTGGAGAGCTAAGCTCATTTTCAAAGCTCTATACCGTCAAAATGCCACTTCATGATGTGGCCAATTATTTAATGCACAAAGGAATTGAATTGTGTAAACAAAGGAAATTCTACACAAGTAATGACTTTTTGCTGTTTCTACAACCCTAGTCATCTGAGTTGGAAACAGTCTAAATAATAACGGACTAAAAAAACACAAATTCACAATAACTAATTCAGCTGTTATGGGTTTCACGGATGCGCTGTTGCCTGTAAACCCACACAGACCAGGGTTAACCCCATGCTCATGGAAGACAGGGTTCTTGGGATTGAATAAGGATTCAGCACAGCACAGCTCAAAATGATGAACCCTCCCTATGAGACATATCTGTTGGAAAAATGATTGCATGATCAGTCACAGGGAATACTCTGAATTCACGTATGAGTTTTCTGCTGGGTTGGTTGGTTGGCCAATCGAAAAGCCACTTACCACAATGGATATCCTCACTCGTTTGGGCTTTCTGTTGTCAGGAGCCCCTGACACATCATTGTTCTTCAATTGAAAAAAAAAAAACAAGGGCAGGAGACACAATGTTAGAACCTGAGGGACCTGCCCACAAACTGTTCAAATGAAAATTAGAGAGGCGGGTAGGAGCAAACCAGTTATCACCACTGGCACCACTAAACACGCCAGAGAAGGACTGGAAAGAGAGGAGGGAGAGAGAGAGGGGGAGAACTGGGGCAGAATGTACAGGTAAAGATATTATTCCAAGCCCGCTGCATTGCGGCAGGATCCTTTCCGGGATTTGCACCAATAAAACAGACAAGACTTTATATATCAATGTAAATGAAGTACAGCCTGCATCGTAAAATGGGAGCAGTAAGATCCCAGATGTAAATCACCTATCAATACTGATTTATTGTTCTACAGTTGGTATCTGTTCCATTATGTTACTTAGTGTGCAGTACCGCAGAGCTGACTGGATCATGCACAGTCATTTCAAGGGGAAAATAAGGAGCTGTATCTCAACTTCTTTGTTCTTTGCATTAGTGTGTGCTCTTTTTAGGAAAGCCTGAGGCTGACTTGTGCTCCCTTTGCTTTATGTTTGATGTGAAGCCCAAAGGAGCTGTTACAAAGCAATGGTTTTCTTGTTCTGTCCTCCAGGGCTAATCTGGATAAGAAAGCCATGCAGTGCCAATGGGAGGCAGATGTCTTGGCTCTCAGGAATGCCACACTGCCACCACACTGGAGAAGATGATGTACTGTATAGTCGATGGGTTTTAAAGGGAACAATAAGCACTATCTTCCTTGCCTGACAGGATAAGATGGTGTGGTATAGGAGAGTATGAATAGGGAATGGGGGCAACAGTGTGGGGCAGTGGTTAGGTTTCTGGACTTGTGACTGGACAGTTAGCTGCTGTACTCTTGAGCAAGGTACTTCACACAAATTGATTCTGTAAAACTCTCTGCTGTATGAATGGATTCAAACACAAATCGCTTTTTCAATAAAAGCGTCCTAAATTAGTAAGAAGAAGTGGGACAATGGTTACCAATGGTTAAGGAAAAAGGTTCAGTAAGATCATTGGTTCAAACTCAGACTCTCTAATGCAGTACTGAAGTGGTAACTGAGATAGCAGCTATTCATGTGCTAGCTATTAAGAAGAGGCTATGACATCTGTGCATTGGACACCGGTTTTGTTTCATGGACATTGGGGAACTGGTGTGGCTGTGGAGGACTTTTACAGATCTCTTTTCATCCTTGTACAACATGTGTATAACAGCTTTGTTATGCAGTGAAATTGAAGAATTGGGATGCCTTGACAAGCATAAGCTGTAAAAAGGAATATTGCATTTAGTGAATCAGTCAAAAGTGAAGAGCACACGTACCTCTGCAGGCTCAGGCTCAGGGTTGGCACAGAAGAGGTTTTTTAAGGCAATGCCTGAATTGTCCTGGGGAGCTACAGGAGATGGAGAAAACAGAAAAAAATCATGCAAAAGCAAAAACAGAAAGATCTTCACATTTTAAAACGGCTGCAGAGACCCACTTTTCTTCTCAAATAATAGCTGGCATCTGACTTCCTTTGGAGCAAACTGCTCCATTGTGTATACTCGGGGAGCTACAGACTCTAGCACACCGTTACTGGCAATAGTCATAACAAAACAATCAGGACACCCAGCGCAACATTTGTACTGCACCTTCCACCTCACTTCACCTTCTGGGAAGTGTGGAAAGCACACCCCTAACATCACATAATCAACACTCAATCTTCTTTAGGATCTAAATTATCACGTATGAAAAGCTATGACATGTTATTTGTTAGAGAGAAAAACACAAGAGATGTAAACCTAGCAAGGTGGTAAATTTGTTATTTTCCTAAAACAAAACAAAAACAACAACAACTCAAGAAACCTGAATTGTTGTCCATGCTTGTGCAGGATACCCTCTTCAGTGCTGGTTTAAGGGGCTTCTGGGAGTTGGTACGCGTGGGGCTGAATGAAGACTCCTCTGTGGAAATCTGCAGTAAAACACACCAGACGTCAGGGACCAGGAACATTATCTGATCAGTACTGCACAGAGTGAGGAGCTCTCTTTGGAGGAAAGTATTTTTGATATTACTGCATTAATAGGGGGTAGGTGGACTTGCGGGCTGTTGAAAGAGATCATAAAAGCTCCTGCTCTACCTCTGAGTCACCGTGTGTCACACTGAGCAAGTTAATGAACTTCTTTGTGCTCCGTCCTTCATCTGAAACTGAGGCCCTTTGGTCGGTGAGTCTCTAGTTGCATTTTTTGGCATCATTCGTATCTATATTTCCATTAGTATCCTTGTATTGCAAACATATCATTTTTTTTCTTTTAAATGCAGGTTAACAAGATATTTCATAGACTACAGAAGAATGTAATTGGCACAAATTAATGGAACACTTTTGAAAATACAATAAGTATCTTATAGAAATTAATGAGACTTTCAGAAAATTGCAACTGCAGTTTTCTGGAAAATCATACTTTCTGTTAGTCTCTTATAGAATAATTTGAATGACTATTATGATACTTAATTTTAGGAAGTGATATCTGTCAATAAAAGTAACATGCACTGTATGGCATGTTGTTAGACAAAACACAGATCCCCTTGTATTTGAGAGAGCACACAAAGTGAGTCACTGGTCTTTTGAATAACTTCAGTACTAAAGCAAAAACTTATTTCTACATTAAGCACCCTTTTTCTTAATGTACAGAGATGTATTTATTGCAATGGAGATGGCTCCTATACTGTATGAGGCAGGTGAGAGCACAGTTTCTAAAAGTTTATCTTACACAAGATGTTGAATACCTATAACACAACCCCCAGCTTCTTTACAGTACACTCATTCCTCACCACTTCACAGCTTCCCTTTTAAAACATTGCTGTTTCTTCTGCCTGCAGTCTCGCCTCCTGAGTAATTAATCACCCAGGAGGTTGTTTCTTATCAAAGTTAGATTAAATTAAAAAAAAATTGAGAGGCAGAGCCATTCCTGAAAAAGAAGATCCACTAATAAACAAAAAATTACACTTATTAAGATAAACGCATGCATAAAGCAGCTCGATGTTGGGCCTGTTTACTGAATTAGAACAGCACAAACGTTTTCTAAAAGTACTTCCTTCAGCAGCTAACACCCTAAGTACACAGGACCGCCCAAGACTTAGAACTACTAAAGAAGCCAGTTTCTTGCTAACTCAGTGTGTTTTCAGCAGAGAGGTATCCCAGGAAAAAGATGGTGCACAAAAATAAAGATAATCAAGGAGAGAATTTGGCCTAAAACTTTACCAGAGAGGTTCAGGAGAATTTTCCATTACAACCCAGGGTCTGTAGGCTGGAAGACCCTTCTGTGGGTTTATAGTTACCGACTTCATTGTGCCTTCATCTACACTGGTTTACCCTCCACGCTAAACCAACACTGCAAAGCAAAAGCTTTTTATCTTGCTGCACAGATCTACTGTCTGGTGTTCATGATTAATACTTTCTGTGATCTTGATAAATGAGAAATTACAGGAAATGAACCGTCCAATATACAATGTATTGAATTTTCTCATTAGGTGCTGTAAACAATAATCTGATTTTAAGGCAATTTATGGAGGAATACATGCACTAGAGTTATTTATTACTAATTCTTGGTTATCTGTATGTTGAGTGTAAAATGTTTGAAATTGCTGCCACACAGAGAAAATATTCTGTACGGTGTTTTTTTTGCTGTATTCCGTGGAAACAGTAGCATGCGATGGTAGAAAGGCTGGTAAATTGCTGCAACACTCTGTACCGGCCTTGATCTGTGTCCCCAGACACCTCCAACCCAAAAGCTGAGGTGCAGAGTAGTGATATCTCCTCACAAAGAGCAGCAGCAATGGTATCCATTTTGTGCTCCTGTTTGCAATGAGCCAGTAGCCCTCTTGCACAGTCTTTCACACTAACTGTATTTCCCATCCCTGACTCTTCTCAAACATGAACGTCAAAGTCACAGAGACGAAGACAGTCAATTCCAAACCCTTGGAGTTTTATGAGACCGCAAACAAAAACACTAATTAAAAATGGGTATGCTGTAAATTCCTCATCTCTCACCTGGGATAATGTATCTTAAAGTGGACAGCCTTACAAATGACTAGTAGAATTGTGCTTCGCCTAAGTTCAGTTCTTTTTCCATGCACCCCCCTGGCTTTCATACTGCCTCTGCAGGTCCTCCTCTTTTCACGGCAACGTCCTGATCCTCTCCGCGAGTTTATTCAGCTCTCCTGTTCTCTCCCTCAGGGTCTCTTTGTCCCAGCCATTTAGGACCCCTGTGTCTTCTGGCTTGAGCTCCAGCTGCGCTCTTAATTACTTACACTGATTGAGCCCTGTAATTGAACTATTTTCCAAATTAGATCATTTTTATAAAAAAAAATCTCATTTCTCGCACTCAGCCCTCGCATTTCAGAAAAAACCTACTCCAGAGCTGCCAAGAATTTCAGTAAAACAAAATGTTCAGCCTGCCCTCAGATTCCTTAATAACATTTTTGCTCAAATATAGATGTCCAAAGAACTCTTAACAAGTGACCATTTAATGCTGAACAGACTGGTGGGATTTACAGTGTCAGGAACATCAAACACTCACATGGCTTAGTTCTGCCTGGGCTCCTAGCAGTTTCAACTCCTGACACCTGGTGACTGAAACCACACTCTGAATAAATGAATACATTTTGAAACCCAACACTTAATACATGATTAATGAAAACTTCTTACTCTTACAGTGTTTGATTATCAGATGGTGTCCCAAAGGTCAGGCCATGACAGTTCTCTAACTGTGGTGAGCCATCAGTGCGGGAAAGGGAATTCTGCTATGTTCCCCGGCTTTGATACAGTTAACGGCCAGCTGATGCTATTTGAGGGCTGTTGCATGAAGAATAAGGCGGAGGAGTGGAAAGTAGGAGGCAGCAGCTCTTAATCCACTTGATGTGAGTGCATGACATCCCTGCAGGGCCTGTGTGCAGGGTTCCGAGTGAGTGGGCTGGCGCCTTCCAGCACAGCAAGAAAACCAGGGGTGTTTGTTTAAGGGGAGGTTTGAGGAACTCTTGCCCAGTGGATATGGTACATAAGAGCAACAAAAGAAATGTTCACTTCTAACAAAAGCTAAAACAGAGGAAACATCCCTTTGGGATTCAGGCAATATCGGATGTAGATATTTTGAGTATGAGGAGGAAGGAAAGAATTCAATAAATGTGTGGACATTTTCAGCTATGCAAAATCAATCCTGTATACAGTATGTATACAAAATGGGCACAATAAACTGGCTCCTCCACATGATGGATTGAAGAAAGGGGAAAAACCCCCTCAAGTCCCCTCCTGAGCTGCTCCGAATTACTGAGCTGAGCAGGGCTTCCGGTTTATCCCTGCTAAGCAGAGGGCTGGGAGGATCGGAGACTAAAGCTACTGTATACGCACAGCACATCTCGGCCCCACAGCAGGAAAGGCATGCTAACAACAACTTACGCAGCTCACATAATTCGGGCACAACTTCTTCTAATGCACATGCTTTGGGTTTTCTGTGTTTGGGCAGGTTCAATTTAATTGGGTGTGCCTGGAATGGTTAAGACTTTTCAAGCCTCTGGATCCCTTTGGAAGAGAGCTGATGTGTAAAGGATGAATATTTAACAGCACAAGAATTAGGAGGAACTGCACTTTTACGAATATCCCTGTTCAACCCAAAGAATCCCAATCAGATGGGACCCACTTCAGTTGCCACTTAATTGAAGCATCCAGCTGGGTGATGTGTGGCAGCCATTCTGCTACAGCAGCTACATTACACAGCAGCTTCGCTGGAGAAGCGAGACATTGCTTAACCATCTGAAACACTGGGCTGAGAGGCCACACTGTACAAATCAAGACTGGACACCCGGCTAAACATCCCGACTCTTATGAACAGGGCTGTGGGATTGATAATGACCAAGGAGTCAGAATCGCGGTTTAAAGTCTCATTTGAAGGAAGTAGCTGTTGATCGGAATAGGCTGAATTAAAAAAAGAATAAATGAGGTGAGGAGAAAGGCTGGGGAAATAAAATGAGAGAAAACTCAGGGAGGGATAAAAGAACAAAGAGATTAAGAAAGAATGGAAAAAAACTGAGGGAAACTGGTGTGTACGTCATGTGAACCATTACCTGACCAACAGAGTCTGGTTTTTGGAAAACCACATAGTCTCATGGTATCATCAGCTTAGCTAAGCTTTAATTTTACAGGATCACTTATTTGTTAAACCTGCTACGTTGGGCTCACCTGGAAACGAACCTCCTGGCTGGTTCGCTGGCTCCCGTTCTCAGTGCCCGTCTGGCTCTGGGTGGAGAAGCGCTTCTTGTCGGCCAGTGCCCGCTCCCGCAGGTATGCCATTCTACGAGGCCGACCAAGCTGCTGTGAGAGGAGAACCTGCAGCTGGGAGCGCTCGATGGAACCCAGCAGGATCATCGATTCTGGGCAGAGAACAAGAGAGGGACAGAGACGGAGATGGGAAGAACAAGAGAGTGAGCAAGACAACGCTAGTGCTTAGTTTATAACGCACTCCAGAGCTGTGAAGGCACAGATATCAAGCCAATATATTGACAAACCTTGTCAAATTATCTAACTCTATCAGTGCAGGAAATGTGTGAAACAGAACCCTATTCCATTCTGTCCAGAATAACCACCAGATCACAATCCTATTGACAGCTAGAGGAATAAGCAGAATGTATTCTTGCTGCTTCAATAGGAACAACATTGTTAAGTGGTGTGGGTAGGGGGAGTGGGGTAGGTTCCTAATATTTTTAAGCACCCTGCAAAAACAATCTGCAATTGTAGGGAACAGAAAAGACAGTTATGTAACGGGTTCATAAAGTTCTCATGAATATAGGCAGGCCTTACACAGGTTCATTACATACAGTTGGAATACTCCTTAAAATGCACACCACATCATGCTATTCAATAAGTTCCGGAGCAATTACACCATGATTAATTTACAGAAGCACATGTACAATACCACTGTAGATGTACGTCTCTGAAAGTGGCAGTCTGATACTACTTCACCTGTTCCGATAGAAACAGCATATGCTACTGAATCAATGTAGACTAATGTACATTCAATTGAAAGCAAAGGCTAATCATTTGTCATGGTGAACTTTGAAATGGTAAGATGAAATGCCATGGCAAACTCACAGATGCATACACAAGAAACAGGGGAGGAAGAGTAAATCAATCTGGGTAAAGAAGAAAAAAAACGCGAGCAGAGCAAATGTGAAGAACATGCTAGCAGGTTTGTTTGTCTGATGAGCTGCAATTTGTCTTTTAAACACAGGAACTCTGCCTAGCTTGTAAGCTGTAGTTCAGCACTGGCATTATTTTTTTAAATCCTCTGCACAAAGGATCAATGTTCTTCTCAACCAGAGTTTCCCTATCCTTAAAATGATCCAAAGGGAGAAGAGGAAAGGGACCAGCACATGCAATTGGACCCTAATTCTTAGGCACTTCTCCTGTACAGCAGAAAAAATGGCAAAGCTGGTCCCTTAAGACAGAGGTCCTGTGAATCACACATGTTGAGCCCCATCACTCATTGCCATAACTCAACTTCAGCAATTGTAACAAATCACTGGGCCCAAGTCAAGTCACCTCTGTTGCTGGGGTAGCCTGTTTTACTGGACTGGTCAAAAGGGCTTGTGGTCACGCCATGGTGCTGGCAGTCAAGAACCAAGGTGGTGTGGGTGCAAAACAGATACATATGTACCTCAGTTAGACAGGGACAAAAGTGTTATCCCATACTGAGTTAAGTGCCCTGACTCCCTTTGAAACTTAGAGCAGACATTAAGGTTCTGCTGCTCATGTATCAGAAAGTGGATGGCCTAGCTTCAGGTTATCTTAAATATACCATAAGAGTGTGATCCATCTTTTAATTGGAGAACTGCTAATTCTGGCCTTATTACTGTGCTAAAGACCAGGAGCCACACAAAGTGCGACAGTCTTTTCACTGTGCTGAAGGCAAGCATTAAGCAAAAGTACAAGGTACTTATTATTTTAATGCAACGTAAAACATTGTTACATGTAGGCGAGTTTTATGTAGTGGGCTTTGCAGCCTCTAGTATCCATCCCATCATGTAGCATAATTCCAACAGGACACACCAAGAAACTATACTAAGCAAAGAAGATATTTAAAAATGTTTATCTAAAAATATCTCAGGGTACAAGGCGGGGACTGGTAAGGGCTGATGATAAGGAATAAAAGGTTCGGTATTGTTCTCAGTTCATTTATCATATGCACAAGTGCAATGAAATGCTTAGTTGCATGTATGCACCAATACAAAGACAAAGACTTTTAAGACTAATAAATTGCCACCTATAAACAAACAGCTTATTATAATGCACAGTACAGTTTCTTGGATGGAAACAATTTGTTCACAGTGCAGAATTTCAGGATGCTGGTGTAAATGTTGGAAGATGCACAATACGTTATTTAGAATATTAAGTACAATTCTGGTCACTGTGTTACAATAAGATATTGCTGCTCTGAAATTCAGCGTAGAACAATCAGATACATATCCAGGCTTTAAGGAAAGCCAAGCACTAACAGAGGTCCTGATTCAAAGACCATGATAAAGATAACACAGGGGACTTCTTCAAATCAACAGTGAAACATGAGCCAGATCATACAAATGAATGTTTACTCACCTGTGTTAAGTCGTGTTTGCTAAATGAGAACAGTCTTTTGTCTTTTGTGTCATTTTAGAGATCTACTGTACAGTAGATAATACATGAAGTTGAATACAGGCAAGATAGAGCACATCATTGAAGACCTGGCTTCCGTTCATTCTCAATTAATTTCCTTTTGAGATTTTGCTCAACTGAATCGTTTAATTCTTTATTACCTTCAGCAATTCAAGACTAATAACCTTTACAGAGCTCAACACCATTTTATAATCTCTTCCACACTTGACACACAGCCAAGGGTTACTGAGCTCTCTCTGCCTCTCACCTGCCGACTCCACCAGGGCCAGTGTCTTGAGGTTGCCGCTATGCAGTACATCATGCAGGTCACGGTAGCAGCAGTTCAGCGTGATGTACCGGACATCCCGGACCATGATGTCCTCCACGCGGATATTGTACTTCCTGGGGAGGGGAGAGGAGAATGAGTATCATAGATTATGGCTTCCTGGCTGGAAGATGAGAGTGGTAAGGCCATTCAAGCACAGCCATTTTCAGTGGACCTAAGATTTGAATAACAGGAGTTTTCAATAAAATGCACATATCAGTAATATCTTGCATTTGTTCTGGCATGGCTATAATCCTCTGTTGCAGAGAAACCTGTAAATGTGCCTATTCCAGAGACAACCTGTGCAGTAAACTGCACCCCTCACTAAGAGAGCACCTTGATGGCAGGACGGTAAACAGCAGCCTCACTCACAATCTTCATCCTCCTCCTCAGAATTCCACTCTGCCTCCTCACGATTGTACTGATCTGCAGCGACTCTTGCTTCCCTGCACTATGCACGCTGCATTTGTGTCTCAAACGCTCTAAATGAGCCTGTATGAACACCAAACTTGAAAGCTACTCTGAGTGTACGCATGATGTGGCACCTTTCAGAGTGTTTCAAGAAGAACTAGTAATTTTGTACCTAAACACCTGATAATTGGTTATTTAATAATCAAATATTGCAGTACTAAGATGTGAAAAGCAATGGGAAGAGGTTCTGCTTACAATACTTAGGATGCCATATTTTATATTCCACCCCTGTTGTTTGTAACACGACTCTGGTTTTGTGGATGTTGAAGGTGTGATGCAGACGGGGACAAAGAGTTTCATTTCCATTTAGTTAAAATGACATCTTCATTTCTTACTGTTGTATTCTTTGCAGACCCCATGCAAAAAGCTTTCTTAAGGATGTTAAGTAAGCCTTAAGTAAGTGGCTTTCCTATTTTGCCAAGACATGATTTTCTTCTTAAGCAAGTAGAGGAGCTTCCCATTCCAGGTTTTGAGATTCTGAGTAGATGGAAATGGTGGTCAGCAGGGGCTGCATTTAGCACTGTCACTTCAAACATAAGCCAGCAAATTAATAAACGATAACTCAGCCCAAGCACAGATCGTGTTTATTCAGTTCTTTGAGGATCAAGGTCTGTGTTCCACCTTAAGGTAGATGTCTTTGCATTTAAGGGACCTTTGTACTAGGCTTCACATTGGATCGTTGTCGTAACCCAGCTTGCTTTCATTTTAACAACTACCCATAGTACGCAACTAAATGTGAGGTAATGCGGTATAGTTTTGGGTCTGACTTGCTCAGTAAGGGAACAAAAACCCCTAAGGAAAATGAAAAGGAACGCCCCTCCCTCTTGACCAGATGGAACATTCTATAAGGGCGATGACTGGGAGGAGTCATACTTATACACATTCAGGGTTGTTTTCTCTCTCAAAGTGCTGCTCTTTAAGTCAACTCCTACTGTATCGTGCATAATAATGACCTTTCTGACTTATACTTCAAGTGTGGGCAACACAGTGGCACAGTGGTTAGCAATGCTACCTTGCAGCACTTGGGTTAGACCCGGGCTGCTGTCTTCATGGATTTTGTATGTTCATAAAAGTTTCCTTCAGGTGCTCCAGTTTTCTCCCACAGTCCAAATATATACTGGTAGGTCAAGCTTCTCGGATAATATGGTCTGGTGTGTGTGTTTGTGTCTACCCTGCGATAGACTGGTGTCCTGACCAGGGTATATCCTGCCTTGTGCATGAAGGGATAGGCTCCGGTTTCCTCAACTGGAAGAAGTAAGAAAAGAGATGGATGGATAGTTCAAGTATTCTGAGAGTAGAAGAATCCTTTTGCGATCACTTTTTAATTTTTATTAATACTCTCCCCCACCCCACTACCATCTAGGGTTAAAGCTCTTAAAAATCACATTTGGAGATCAGCTGCTTAAAGACTGAACTGACTGCCCATGAACAGTGACACCGGTCTGGCTGAACCATTTCCTATTTCTCAGCTCAGTCTGCCACCTAAAGCACAACCAGAAGTGATACTGTATATTCCAATTCCCTTACACTGCAGTGAAAATACCTCCCAGCCTGCTCTAGTGCTGAAGGACCTGCTCCCTCTGCACAGGAACAAGGCAGACCAGGGAGAGAGAGGAAAAGACAGAGGGGAAGAGATAGAAGGAAGGGTGAGAGGAAGAATGAAAAAGAAAAAAAAAGGCAATCTTGAGATGCACCTCTAAGTTTCAGAAAATATACCAAGAAGGTATAGTACATACTGTACAGAAACATTAATGTAAAAAAGGACTTTGAGACAGGATAAATGAATACACCTTCTTTCTCAAGACACCATCAAAATATTTCAGTGAAGTGCCTGAGCTGCTTGCAGCAAACCTGCATCGAGGCCTGGGGCCTCTGTTTTGGAAGAAAATAGGCTGGAAAAGCACAGACGGAGAGGAAGGAGAAGGAGGACAGGAAGAGTTAAAATTCCAACTCTTCGGCTTTCTCGGGTAGACTGCGGCTGAAGTACGCCCTGGCCTCTCAGAGAGAGGGCAGAGCTCCTGGCGGCAGGATCATCTCTGCAGTATCGATCCGTTTGATGTTTTTATTTCCATGTCAACGCTCAGCAGTCAGCTCTGCGGTTACAGCTGCTGCCTGTTGAGCGCAAGCACAGCACGATCAAAACTGTCTGAGGGAGCCGCACAGTGATACAGAGGGAAGAAAAAATTCCTCAAGCCAGTCTTCCTCTGTGTGACAGAGGCTGATGTCAAAACCATCTCTCCTACATTTGTTTTTTTAATTATTTCAATAACACTGACAGGGAACTATGAAATGCTGCACATTGCAATATTAAGTAGAGTGGTCATTAAAATAATGTGGGATACAGAATTAACCAAACACAATAGGTTGCAAAGAGACACGCAGTACAGGATTTAACACCTACACCAAAGGAGCTGAAGGTCTGAACAGAGAGCTCAACCACTGTGAGCACTTTCAACTGTGAGCTGTTAAGATGCCATGTGATCACATTTATCAGAAAGCTTAGCAAGAATGGCATGTGTGTGCTGTTAGATCCATGCATCAAAGGGAATTACACTCATTACAGTTTATAACACATGGCCCAGACCTCAACATGTACAGCTTACTCCTTTGGCTTATTTGATAATTTTGGCCCATGATTACTGAAACACAACAGATAAAAAACTTTTTTTTAAAGCACAATTTACTCCTGGAGTGAATAGGTACAACATATGGTACTGTGCAAATCATGAATGAGTGAGGCCATGAGGTGTCTAATTCAGACAGTAGCTACAGTAAATCTTCAAAGATGACGTAGATTTCCCAGTGTGAATACATCAGGCAAGAGCCATCAACAACTTCACAACCGAAAGCATAGGTGTGGAAAAGAGGAATGGGATGAGTATTTCCCATTTACACATAGTTTGAGTAAATTATGCAGGTTTCTAGCTGGAGACAGAAATCCATCACAACAGCTGATGTACTATAGCAGCAAGGCATGTTATTTCACTTATGGGTTATAAAGATTTCTAATCATCTTGCTGTGCCTTAACCAAGCAGCTTGGGCCTCCGTGTCAATGCAGAGGAATACAGCTCAGAGGCCCCTCAGAGAAGAGATATCTTATCCTATGCTGAAATATCTAATGATGTTTATAGCGCAGATGTACTACATGGAGTCTGTTTTTCTCCAAGACAGTAGGTCTGAGGTCATTGTCCCATCACTGAAAGGAACGTCCACCGATGAGAGACCGGCAGGGTGGGTACCAGGATTATACATGATAAATCCAATATAAATAATCAACTGTGTCATCGTACCTTAAAACCTAGAACTCAGTTAATTTTCACTGGATCACTCACTGGTTCCTCTTCTCTCTCCAACTAACCTGGCTCTTTGACTCTTCCAAGCACATGACTACAAGCAGCCCGCATCAGGGCTTCTCGTCAGTCAGACAGTGACTCAGTAGAGTACAGAATTCTGCCCAAGATATTCTTTCTACAACAGAATAAATCTTATTTTCGTGAATGCACTCTTATTTTCACCTCATCGAAAGGTAAGATAAGACAGCTGGACTCTTTTCTGTCGACATCCTGAATATCTAAGCATGTTCAGTTTAAGGCTATAGCCAGAACGAACAGTGTCTCCCTCTGTCTAACTTGCAGCCAGACCCAAGCAAACTGACTGTGCACAGACTATTTTTAAACACAGACGTTCAGAGCGATGCTAGCTTCCTTGCAGATGTGTCCTCAGCAAAGCTAGACAAAGCTTTCTTATCTCTCTGTCCTCAGCAAGGCTAGACAAAGCTCTCCATCTCTCTCCTCTCAGCCCCAGGACCCTTCAGCACAGAGCAAGCAGCTGCCAAGTTGGACAACGGACTAGCCCAGCTCAGTCTTACCTGTGAGAAGTTTTAACTTATTAAGGATGTTGGCCAACAGAACTTAATTCACATCATAATTCTCAAGAGTTGAATTCTTATTCCAAACATGTTAACTAGTTTAGTTTACTGAATGAAAATACTGTATGAAAAGAATGACACTGATGAAACCTGTAAGGCAGACCATAAAATGTTCCTGTCAATGTATTTCAATTGTATTTTGTAACCCCTGTGTGAAGAATCAACTTTTGTCACAGCAGACTGTTTCACAAATATAATCTATTGCATTTGTTGCTTTCTTATGCATGTTTTGGTGTTGTAACAATAAATTATATAATATACACTGTACAACAATTGACTACTAATCTGATGGTGGAGAACTTTCCTCAGACTGAACCCCACTACAAAATGGACATTAAGAAAAATGGAACAAAAAACACTAGTGAAGAGGTGTTCGTAAAAATGCAGTTTTCTTTCAGCAAGAAGACTGAAGTTGGGTTTTAAAGATTGTTTTCTTTTACACTATTTTTGTAAAATGGGGAGCCATGTGCATGTTTGTGCTATTTTATCCCATTTGAGGCAAATACAAAGGCTCTTTGACTATTCTGCCCCCTGTGACATCATTGAATGATACTGTGGGATACATGCAGTAAATAAATCAACTACAACACTTGCACATTTCACCTTTCTTCTGGACACGATCAAAGAGCACATCTGATGGAAATCAGATGGAAATGACCCGTCTACTAAAAACCCAG